TGTGCGTACCAAAGTGATGATAAAAAAATGCGTTCGAAACTAGTGTGCGTATTATGCGTTGAACATGAGGATTCGCGAATCCGAGGTTCCAAAGCGGAGGGCGCAGCAGTCTACCTGCGGAGTGACGTGGACTGAAAACGCGAGTCTCGACTGAGCGGCCATTGCTTCATTCACTCCCAGGTACACGGGTATACGGTGGACTAAATTTGAAAATTGTACGAACATCTGGAACCTTGGTGACTTCTAAATTATACTGGTGAAGTATATACTCTGTGTATGCTAGGGTATGAGGTGAAAAGTGAAGGAAATAAGTGGTGTTATAATTATGCGGTAATCCGGCTTTCTGACAGAAAAGTGTGTATTAAATCGCCGTTAGAATTGAAACTGAAATTCTATTTATCATAAGTAATATTTCTTTATTTTGTATATTATTTAATTGTTTTGTTGTGTGCAATATATTTATTGAAATGATTAAACTTGTGAAATATTATTCAATCTAAATAACCCTACTATGAGAAGATAACCTAAGACAATTAAGAAACTGCCATGATAACCTAAGATTACTAAGAAATGTTAAATGAAGAAATTGAAATGAAGAATACTGAATGATGCACGTAATATATAAATAAGCAATACTTAAATAAGTCTACTAATAAATATAATAGATATAAGGACTAGTACTGGAAAAACTAAATAAATTAGAAATAACTAATAGAAAGATATCTAATTAACAAAAGAATACTAAATAATAACTTCATGATAACTAGTGATTCAAAATACGCTTAATGATAATTCACAAAAGTATAAATTCAAGAAAATAATAAAAGCTGCAAACTTTACGAACTTCAAGATATACATTATATATTCATTTATAAGCTATAATACAAGCTACTTTCATTACTTGTTGTAATTATTCCGCTGCTTCCCCTAGACATCTTAAAACTTTAATCTTGCATAGACTATTAACCTACACTGTACTGCACTGTACAACAAGCGGGATTGTTACAAATGGGGGCCTGACCGGGATTTTTATTTACTATTAACATCATATATAAATATCATGACTTATTTCCTTTAATTAATCTTGCTAAATATCTTGTAACTTGCGACAAAAAATTGTTGAGGTTTACCTAAGAGTGGTTATAGTATTTTTTGCTATTTCTCGTAACCAGTGAGCATTTTACAACTGGCCATTGTTAAAGTGTTGCACAATCAACAGATAAATTCAATATTGGCTCATACGTGCCCTTGTACAGTTCAACTTCTCAAAGCTTGAATGTGAGTAAGCATCTCCCACTTTAGCCGACCTGAGATTCCTTCGGAGCCGACAGAGCTCGCCATAAGTCTAGTTTTAGTTTACTAAGCATGGTAAACTACACTCGGTTGTAAGTGTGACCGTCTATGAACGAGTTTCTCTGATATAGCTAAGGTTCGAGATTATATTAGGTGGGGATATATCTTAACCGTCTTTTAGCTGCACTGGCACACTGCAATTTGATGTCTTGTACTACTTCATTAATGTAGTCGCTTTATAATTCAAATTCGTCTTTAAGCAATTGTTTCAGTTCGATAATCTGGGAGACGATCTGGACAATTTCTTCCCATTCAGTTTGTGGGAGCTAGAAGGCAGATGGTGGCTTTGCCAATATAGCCGCTTAATTAGATGGATTTGAGTTTCTTTAAGAATACTGCAATGATCCTTTATTTTAACATAACTCGCCACCTCTCTGTAAACTTATAAACTGTAAAGCAAGAATTAATTCTTATCTGGAACCTTTTTGCAATAAACATGGTTTTCGATGTTCATGATTTCATAGCCAATCCTTCAGTGGAAATCTTAAACTCGTCAAATCCTTGCAAAGATGATTTCATATACATGGCTAGGCACTGGGGAATTAATTATCAGAAAGAGGCCACTAAAGCTCAACTCAAAGATCTCATAATTGAACATTTGCAAGAGCAGCATGAACCGCAGGCTTTTCCTCTTGAAAATATTGACTTTGATACTAGTAATCCTTCACAATTACTAGAAATAGAAAAATTAAGATTTCAAATAACACAAGCTAAGATTTTAGGTGAGGAAAGATTGTCTAGAGCTAAAGAAGAAGAGCGTGAGAGAGAGAGACAGTTTCAAAGGGAAAGAGAAGAAAGGCAATTGGAACGCGAGGAAAACCAAAGAAGACATGAGCTTCAAATGATGGAAATGAAAGTAAAAAGTCGAGGGGATTTTGATTTTGAGATTAGTAAATGCGTAAAGCTAACTCCTGTATTTGCAGAGGATAATCCTGAAGGTTTCTTTAGAGAGTTTGAGACCATAGCCAAACATTTTAATTGGCCTGAAGAACATTGGGTTTGGTTAATAAAGCCTAAACTGACCGGTAAGGCTCTAAAAGTTTGTGAAAATCTTAATGATAACACTGATTATGAAGAAGTAAAATGTGCTATTCTAGCTGCTTATTCCATAACCACTGAAGGATATCGGCAGGCTTTCAGGAACATGAACAAGTCTTCTAGCCAAACATATGCTGAATTTGCCTCGGAGAAGCTTAGAGCTTTTAGACGGTGGATAAAGTCTGCCTCAGTCGGTAATTTCGATCAACTTTGCAACCTCGTAGTTTTAGAGGAATTCAAGAGAAAGGTTCCATATTCTGTCATGATTCACCTCACAGACAAGGAGGAAAATGACCTCCACAAAGCAGCCAAGGCAGCAGATGTGTTTTCCTTAGTCCATCGTAGTATACCAGGGGAGAGAAGGAAAGCAAATATTGTAAAGTCATCTGTAGGATTTAAATATAATATGGAGAATACTAACAGTGGACAGTATCAGTCTAATACCCAAATATCTACCCTATACTGTAAATTTTGCAAAAAGGAGGGTCATCTAATTAAAAACTGCCCACATCCAAAATGTAAGGTGGCAAAAGAAGCAAAAGATTATATTTTTACAAAACCTGTGGCTACTACTAACTTCGCTAATAAACGGTTTCAGGAAGATCCATTTAAGGCATTCCGATCAAAGGGTCACGTGTTCAAGTCGGGTGGTAATAGATATCCAATTGATATTGTCAGAGATACAGCATGCGCACAATCACTCCTACTGAAGAGTGCTCTGCCAGATATTGAAAGCTGCTTAACAGGTGAGAAAGTCTGGCTTGAATATATTGAAGGATGTGCTCCTAAACAGCTAGCTGAAATCAACTTAGATTGTGGTATAGTAAAAGGACCAGTAACGGTTGGTGTTGTAGATAAAATACCAATTCCTAATGCAAGTTTCCTCATGGGTAATGACTTAGCTGGGGACTTAGTAATACCAGAATTAAGAGTAACTGACACCCCTTTACAGTATAATAACACAATTGAACTTGAAATGGAACAGCCATATCTTTTCCCTAGCTTGTTCTGTGTGTACGTATATATATATATACGTACACACACACACACACATATATATATATATATGTGTGTGTGTGTGTGTGTGTGTGTATGTGTGTGTGTGTGTATGTATGTATGTGTGTATGTGTGTATGTATGTGTGTATGTGTGTATGTATGTGTGTATGTGTGTATGTATGTGTGTATGTGTGTATGTATGTGTGTATGTGTGTATGTATGTGTGTATGTGTGTATGTATGTGTGTATGTGTGTGTGTATGTGTGTATGTGTGTATGTGTGTATGTATGTGTGTATGTGTGTGTATGTGTGTATGTATGTGTGTATGTATGTGTGTATGTATGTGTGTATGTATGTGTGTATGTGTGTGTGTATGTGTGTATGTATGTGTGTATGTATGTGTATATGTGTGTATGTATGTGTATATGTGTGTATGTATGTGTGTATGTGTGTATGTGTGTATGTATGTATGTATATATATATATATATACACATACATATATATACACATACATATATGTATGTATATGTATATATATATATATATGTATATATGTATATATGTATATATGTATATATGTATATATGTATATATGTATATATGTGTGTGTATATATATATATATATATATATATATATTATATATTGTAACAACCCCGCTTGTTGTACAGTGCAGTACAGTGTAGGTTGATAGTCTATGCAAGATTAGTTTTAAGATGTCTAGGGGAAGCAGCGGAATAATTACAACAAGTAATGAAAGTAGCTTGTATTATAGCTTATAAATGAATATATAATGTATATCTTGAAGTTCGTAAAGTTTGCAGCTTTTATTATTTTCTTGAATTTATACTTTTGTGAATTATCATTAAGCGTATCTTGAATCACTAGTTATTATGAAGTTATTATTTAGTATTCTTTTGTTAATTAGATATCTTTCTATTAGTTATTTCTAATTTATTTAGTTTTTCCAGTACTAGTCCTTATTTCGATTATATTTATTAGTAGACTTATTTAAGTATTGCTTATTTATATATTACGTGCATCATTCAGTATTCTTCATTTCAATTTCTTCATTTAACATTTCTTAGTAATCTTAGGTTATCATGGCAGTTTCTTAATTGTCTTAGGTTATCTTCTCATAGTAGGGTTATTTAGATTGAATAATATTTCACAAGTTTAATTATTTCAATAAATATATTGCACACAACAAAACAATTAAATATTATACAAAATAAAGAAATATTACTTATGATAAATAGAATTTCAGTTTCAATTCTAACGGCGATTTAATACACACTTTTCTATCAGAAAGCCGGATTACCGCATAATAGTCCACCGTATACCCGTGTACCTGGGAGTGAATGAAGCAATGGCCGCTCAGTCGAGACTCGCGTTTTCAGTCCACGTCACTCCGCAGGTAGACTGCTGCGCCCTCCGCTTCGGAACCTCGGATTCGCGAATCCTCATGTTCAACGCATAATACGCACACTAGTTTCGAACGCATTTTTTTATCATCACTTTGGTACGCACAGGCCGTGAATTTGGGAAGATTGTAATAACACCCCCCAGAAGTCAAATCTTCTAAGATTTGATTGAAGAAATTAGTTCAAATTTATGGCCTGGAGAGTGCATCTGCAATTACGTTGTCACGCCCTTTAATGTGTTTCACTTGAAGATGATAAGGCTGGAGGGACAACGACCATCTCAATAGTCGCTGATTGGAGTACTTGTTCTTCTCCAGGAAGGTCAGCGGATTGTGGTCCGTGAAGATCTGGACAGGATGAGCGCCACCATACAGATAACACTCGAACTTCTTGATTGCAGTTATGATTCCGAGTAACTCCTTCTCGATGGTACTGTATGCTAGCTGATGCTTGGCGAGCTTGGTTGAGTGGTAAGCTACTGGATGTAGAACACCCTCGTCATCATCTTGGAGGAGGACGGCGCCGGTAGCTATGTCACTGGCATCTGTCTGCAGGATGAAGGGTCTCTGGAAATCTGGAGCTGCCAACACGGGGTCGCTGGAAAGCAACAGCTTCAGCCTCTCGAAAGCCTTCTGACATTCTGAAGTCCAGGAAAAAGACACTTTCTGACTGGTGAGACGCGTCAGCGGAGCAGCGACGTCTGCGAGATTTGGACAGTAGCGACGGTAAAATCCCACCATGCCAAGGAAGCGCATCAGGGCGAGTAATTTTGAAAAAGGTTAGATATCCCCTGTATCTCGTCTGAACTAAGGTGAATTAAGA